TAACAATTATTTTTCAGAAATATAGTAATTCTTTTCAAGAAAGAGTTGTTACGAATAACGTTTTTTTGCAAGATTATTCTGCCAGACGGTACTTAGAACGAAAAACTAGCTCCATTTCTTGATAATAAGATTAAAATTACCTTAATAAACAAAATCATTTTTTTTCTTAACGTTATCACTGGACAAAATAAGCTCGTTGTGCAAGTATATATATATATATATATAATAATATAAATATAAATATATATATAAGTATATAAGAAATTTACCTCGTCCTCATCTAAGAACGGATAATCAGAAAATAATTTGGGAAACGGATCGTATTCATTTCCAGTCATACGATTTCCAGTATCCATATCCATCGTATGACTCCACCATAGTTTTCCATCTTCCATTGTTCAAATCGTTGTTTGGCACTTGTCACTTCACGTTACCTGCGGTACAAACGATACACTGAAAAATACTGACTGAGCAGACGACTGACGCGATACAACTTCGATCACACTGGCACGCTAAGCCACGCGGCTTTATTCTAGGTTATGTTATATCGAGGGGTAAGGGAGTGTAACGCGAACGCACGTGTGCGGCTCAAGGACTTGACATTCGACTTGGGAGGTGATTTATGTGGCTTTATACGAACGATAGATGATCATGTGCACGTACACGGGACTGTCCGAGGGTGACGCGGATTTTGCAACGTGAATCGCGTCCACGTTGCGGTCAGTTCGCCGCGCCGACGAACCACTGTGCCGTGCAATGGATCGAACCAGCTGTGGCGGCAGAGATCACCGATCGTCCGCCGATACCGTTATTCTATCGCGAAAACAGAAAATAAATTCGCAATGACGACACACACTGTGATGAACTTGCACGACGCGACTGTCGAGAACTCAATAATATTCCGGATGGACGGAGGGAACGCGTGGCTGCTCTGAGGATACCTTCTTGAAGTCTGCACATGGAAATTGGAAGGAGAGCGTCTCTCTTTACGTCTACACGGCGGAGAGAAAGAGACACGTCGTATACGCACGCGTACACGCGCCCGTAGTGGGCGCGAACGTGTCTATGTATTCGTAAAATGAGTGAAAGGAGGAGAGAGACCGGAGAGAGAGAGAGAGCGAGAGAAAGAGAGAGAGAGACAGAAGAGCCGGCTAGCCATGCTTGCCCACGCCGCATCAGCCACCACGCCTCCGAAGAGAACAGCGGGTGATGTTCCGCGAGAACGCTATTCGGTGTGATTACTTGGAACGTGATTTCGCGCCGGATTTCGATGCTTCCCTACGTCATCCCGATTGATGAATTAATGCCGCGCGGTAACGTGTGCCAGGTAGTAAGCGCTACGAACCTCGTCAGAGTCGCGGTTATTCCAGTAGTATTCAGCAGGAACTCGATGCTCGAAAAACACCACGTTCACGTAATACACCGCAACACAGCACAAACCGACACTGATGTTAGCGGAAGAACTTGCTGCTTGATACGACGAGCGAATTTCTATCGGCAGTTCCAACGGGAACACGTGACTACCACGTTTGCGACGACTTGTCTCGAGTCGAAGTCTCTCTACTGTTACAAGCTTCGTTCACACCACGCGTACTCGGCGTATGTATAGTACGATACCGCTGCACGACTGTACACTACTGCGACTGACGTCCGAACACGCACGCAACTCTCACGAGTCTGGAGTCTGGAGTCAGTCTGCTAACGTATATTCGATGATCACACACTCTACTACACTCGTGCGCGCGCAGCTTTTTTTCCCCCCGAAGCGTTTTTCCCGCGTAAATGGGGTAAGTTTTCGAACCTGAGCTTCCAATAGCGTTCACGTTTCGTCGAAATGGGACTCACCTCGACTTTTCTGATTGGTCACAAGTGATGTCAGTGATAGCCAATCCTAAACTTTAACTAAAATCAAAAAAATTACCTGGTTGTCTATCTTGAGAATGAATAAAATTTGCTACGGTAACGAATACGATACTTCCGATAAATGAATGGTATTATTGAATTCCTTTTCTAAAGGAAAGAAAAGAATTTGAATGGAAAATATTTTAAGAAAGCCCGAAATTGATTTACATTTAAGAAATGCATAACTATAATAAAAATAATTTTTAATAAAATAATATATTTTATAGACAGTAATAATAAAATTTTTTAACTTTTTACATTTACTGATTTATTGAATACATATTGCGAATGTAATGGAAAATTTGATCACTGTTTATTGCAAATGCAGAAGCATATGATTATTTACAAATATGTCACAAACAGGACTCGGTCTCATTTCAAATAAATTTATTTAAAATATATATTTTAAAT